AAGAAGCAGGCGAACTTGCTCCTTAGTAAGAGGGTAGGGCTGGTTCATGGCTGGAGAGCACCAGGGCTGTAATAATATACGGTTGTATGCCGAAGGACACGACCTACTTATAAACACACGCAGAACATTCTAGCATGCTCTGGAAAAAAATTGTACTGGATATTCAAGAAATTCCGAGAACTTTCTTTCCAATCAGATACCTTTGAAGCAATGGCTTGTGATGATGGATGATACTCAGAGTTTTATTGACTACAACACCTAATACCTCTTCTCTATCCAAGGACACAATGTGCTATTTATGAACTGGAATGTAATGTAGACAGTAAAAAAAAACTGACTGCTCTGACCTTGGCCTCTACTTATTGTACTCTCTACTTCTTAATTTCCTTGTTACAAGGTAACAAGGAAATCTTGCAGTAGGACAGCAATTCAAGTACAAAAATAATAGCTCTGATGCAATTACAGGTGATTGTGACTGAAATCTGCAGCTTTATGACCTAACGCTAATCAAGGCTTTGATCCATTATATCCCCAACAACCACATGTATCACCTATGTTTTTCAATGTCCCATGCAACTCAGAGAGTTTCAATACCATACATTCATTTCTCTGAGTTTAATTTAAAGCCATTTAAAGTATCCAAGTTACATGTGATCATCATGAACTAACTCGAAGTGGGTATACCTTCTCTTCTCCCAGGAAAGTCATTTTGCATAAAGCTGTTCATCATCTACAAGTGTCATGCCACTGATATGGACAGGTTGCTAAACACACACTCAACATTTTCTACATACCTATTACTTGTTCTGTAAGCCTTCCTTCACTGTAGGTGGTAGGCCACAAATCCTCAATTGATGAGAATCATGAGCCTTAAGCCTTCCCAAGTGAGGGGGAATGGTAGCACAATTGGTAATGAATTTTGCCAACTTCAGAATACACACCAATAAAGCATAAAGGATGTTCACCTCTCTTCAATGGATAGAGGAGACACTGACTATTTCATTAGGGATCCACATTCAATGGCCAAGTATGGTAAGTTTCCTGTCCACCATACATTTCAAGGAGGTGGTGGATACTAGCAACTCAATAGTATGCAAGCTTGTTAATAACCATTCAACATCTGGACATCAATTGTCAAAAACAAGATATTGGGCACAGCTGTGGACAGTTAAGCAGACAAAAAATAAAAGCAAAATTGTTGCACCATACATACAGTTTACCTCTTGGCCATTGGAAATGGAGGAGAGTTCTGAAACACAATTATATTACAGAGAATCTTTCTGTCTTGCATGACATCAGACAGAGCAAATGATTGAGAAAATCAGATGAATAATATCAGTGGCCATATGCAATCACCAAATTCAATCAGCCATTAATGGGAACAACATGTGAAAGTCTCAGCATTTACTTAAATGAAGCTGATCCTGTGAATAAAAAAACAACCTGGCACAAACTATGTTATAAATTCACTCACTTGCTTGTCAGTGTGCAGTTCCTTGTCATTGTCTCTCAACCTCTTTTTGACTCCATACACTGCAGGACCCTTCTCAAGGTCTCCATACTTCTCTGATTCAGAGGGCTGATCCTTGATTCCCTTCAGTCCTGATTTTAACCTCTCCATCACAATAATCAGAGCATCAGGTTTGTAAACTTTAACCACACTTGCAATAGCAACTGCAGCTCCTGTAACATGAGAGGGATCATTGTAACTGCCTTTTATAATGATATGGAATACAAATTTTTGAGAGGACTGGCTACCTATACGGACGGATGGAATGTTATCCTGGAGATTATTGAAGAAAAGAGGATACAATGCATCCATTTTGCTTTGAGATTCTTCAGGGAAATGGCTCACAAAGTTTCCAGATGCTAGACATGCAGCTAGAATAAAAAATTTCAAGCCAATGGAAGAAAAAATTCAAGTTCATAAAAATGACTGAAATATAATTTTTATTTTGGTTTGATTTTAGGCTAGCAATATTGTTCAAAATTTTTTTCTTTGGTTCTATCAACTTGATTCACTCTGAGGGGTAAATTGTATATCTTCCTACCAAAGTTGAAACAAATTGGAGTTGAATAAAATCAAGTCTATTGACAAATGTCAGAGGCTCAACATTCAAATTTCAGATATCAGATTGGGTACATCTTCAGTTTATGAGGCAGCTGCTATTTGTAAAAAAATAAAATATGAGGGTATATCCAAAAGTTTCTGGAAAAACCCAGTCTAACCAAAATACTTGGTATATTAGAGCAAATAAACTTACTCCAATTTTTGACATAGTCCCCATCCACATTACAACACTTTCTAATTGATGAACAAGGCCCAAGAAAGAGCCAGCAAAGAAATATTGTGGCTGATGTACAAACCACTGGTTTTTTCCAGTTCATTTCTTGTGTTAAATCTTAGTCCCCATAAATGCTCCTTCAGTTTGGGGAGAAGGTGGAAATCACTTGGGGCCAGATCAGGATTGTATGGAGGATGAATAATTAACTCCCAGCCAAGATCCTAAACAATGCTGACTGTTTTTTTTGCAGTGTGTGGCCTTGCATCATTGTGCTGTAGAATGACTCCTTGAGTCAACATTCCTGGATGCTTCTTATGAATAGCTTGAAGAAGTGAATTAAGCTAATTGCTATAATATTTGGCACTTATTGCTTCTCCTTCAGGTAGAAAGTCAATAAAAATGACACATTTCAAGGCCCAGAAAAAGGTTGCAAGAACTTTTCTTACAAAAGATGCTGAACTTCTTGGTTTGAGGGAAGAGGAATGGTGGCATTCCATTGATAACTGCTTTCCCTCTGATTCAAAGAATCTTACATTCTTTGAATGTGAGGGGTTCCATTGCTAGTCACAGTGTTCATAAGGAAATTGTTTCCACTTCAACTATCTTGACTAAAGAAAGTTGTACAGGCAGCAAAATACTGTTCTGTGATTATTGGTGAACATGCACAGTACCCATCTTGCACAAACCTTGTTGAACTGCAGTTCTTTGGGTCATTGAACCTTTCAGCAAGTTCATCAAGTTCAATGCACCCGTTACTGTGAATGGTCTCATTGACTTTTTGACAAACTGTTTTTGTTCTGGCAGTTCAGCCTTCCTTCTCTCTCATTGTCTAACAAAGATTCTCCTCCATTTCTGAACCTAGAATGTCATTTGTAGAGGCTGCTTTTGGTAACACTTTCACCAAATTGTTTTCTCACTCTCACTAATAATTCAGTGGCTTTAATACTGTCTTCAATTAAAAAGTACACCACAGCATGCAGAAAAATCCTGGCTTTTTGATAAATCCACTGATGCTGATATACAGGATGGTGCAAAATACCTGCTCCTCCACCTCCAGACAAAACCAGCAGAGGTTGACCATGTACAATACAGTTGAACTTGGTTATAATGTCATTGAAGGGACCAGCAAAAAATCGTTGTTATAACTGAGGTTGCCTTTATTGACATTCCATTTTCCTGTTTTCAAAATGGATGCAATATAACCTTACAACTCCAGTGTACGTCGGTAATGCTGAACTAGTTTCAGGATTGACCTAGTCTCAGGATTGATTCAGTTTCAGGATTGACCCATTAATCGTGATGTTCAAACTTCTTTGGATCTTGAACTACTTTATACTTTAACAGAGCCTCAGAGCCTCATCAACGTCATCTCAACAGATCGATGAAGTTTCTTGTTTAGTGACATGTTCTTGTAAGCTCAGATGAAGCTGTCACAATTTTCCCAAATTGTGGAAACAGATGAACAGATGTCCATTAGGGATGCACCAATACAGATCCAACGTATCAGTATCGGCCAATACCAAGTGAATCAGCCAGGATTGGTATCAGCTGATACCTTTATGGCCAATCCAATTCAATTCTCCATTGCTGTACGCTGTGCTTAATGCACAGCGCATAACTTTTTGGAACGTCTCATGAAAAAAACCACACTTGTAATGGCATTCAGTTCCTTATGTCAGTCATGGTTCATTATAATCTCCAACTGACAGACAATGAGCTTGAGCATGGTTAAAGTGGAATGTGAGAGATATGAGAAGGGCATTGTACGAATGGAATGGGTCAGTGTCATTCATGTACACACTCCTTCCTTCACTTTCCCCCCTTCTGTCCTGTTCCCTGCCTTCCTGTGCTGACTGGTTGGCACAGGTGCACTTTGTGCTCATGTCCATCCTGCCTCAGGCTCTCCCCTTGAGCACCAATCCCAGTTGTACAGCAGTTGCAACAATTCCTTCATCCCTTAAGGACATTATATGTAGTTCCTACCTCTACTCCTCTTTGCACTGATCGTCCTTTGTATGTAGTACTTACGTCCTATGTATTCTTGGTGGGCCTGGGGGGAAGTTATGGCCTATACTCAAGAAGCAAAAATTTTGCTGATGTAAATGTCTCTAAAGCTAAATAAATGACAGGAACTTCGAATGCTGGGTCATTAGTGTCCAATGATATTTTATTTCTTCTCTTCTATGCTATAGGTAGCATAAGGCCTACTAAGGTCTCGTCCTGTATTGTGGTTTCATTTCTGACAGCCACTGGGAGATATCTGGATCGGTATTGGCCAATACCATGACACTGGGATCGGTATAGGTATAAGCTAATCCTGGATTGGTGCATCTTTAATGTCCATGTTCGTGAGTGACATTAGCTTTACTTCAACCACTTTTCATTAAACTAATCATGTGCACTTTCCTTTCAATCATGAAGGCTTGGCTTTCGCTTTCCACTGGTCATGTTGTGAACGAGAAATGCAAATGGCAACTGAAGATGATCTTTTCAGTTACTAGGGATTATCCCTCTCTCACCCTCCTCCAGTCACATGACTCTCAAGGAATGCCAATTCCAGGAATGATAAAGTTATGGTTTGCCAACACTCATTTTTCTGAAGATGGAAATTCCAGATAGGAATGACGAACTAGGGACGTCAATGTAGTCAATTATATCAGTGGGACCTTGAATGAACTTCGTTATAACCGAGGTTCTCGCTATAGACTGTAGTTACCTTGATATCTTATCACCACACAATATTATGTGCAAAAGTGAAAATTAAAAAAATGACAGGCGTCCTAGGTGAAAGCAAACCATTATGCCTCCAACATTGGGCTATGGCTATGTCTAGGAAATTTGTGAAAGATGTTGGTGCAACATTAATCACGAAAAAGTGGATTGAAATAAAATTGAACAGAGGTGAAAGTTGAGTGGAATGGTACTGGAATAAGACTTTGAGTGATACTGGTTCACAGTTTTAAGGTTTTAGATCCCTGAAGCTCTCACAATTGCATGAAGTCATCAGCATAGAGAGTTCCGGTTTCCAATAGAAATGAGAAAATGAAATTGACTTTATTAGATATGAAAAATTCCAGGGGAACTTACCTAATCACAACATTTGCAAACATGTGTGGTCAATTTTGAAGGATTGCATGTAGGAAATGATCCATGGAAAACAAAACAATTGATTTTCAATCAAGATTATGAAAAAAGCTTGTGCTGGGAAGATGATGATTTTGTTCAGAAATTTTTTTTTAATTTAAGCATGAAAAAATCAGGCTATATTAAAGACACATGTTGGTAACACAGTTTACATTTTGCTCATAATATAGTGTGGTGATAAGAAATCAAGGGTAACTTTTGTTTTTGTTTAGACTCTGCAGGTTTTGTCAGGAGGTAGAGGAGCAGGTAATTTGCACCACCCTGCAATGAACATTTCATTATTTTAATTTCAGTCAAAGGAAATTTATTTTAAAAAATTATTATTTTTGGATAAACCCTCATATTAGTGATCAAGCCATTCAAATTTAAGGCAAAGGAAATTGGCTGAATATGGTCTTGTTGAACTTTGCCATTATGGATTTTACTGGTCATATATATAGTTTGGCAGGCTAAGTTACAAAAATCACTGTTGGTTAAAAATAGTCATGACTATTGTGAATGTATAACTGTACAATGAGGAAAGCATTACTCTGAAGATAACACTGAATAGGAATTCATTTTCCCATTCTCACATAGCAAGAGGACTGAAACAAGATATGAAGAATGGATCCATACCATCACGAACAGGCCAGCTGTCATCCTGGAAGCACCTAAGCAAGGTATCTAAGAGATGAGGGACATATGGTTGCACGGCACTTGCATCCACTTTGGTTGCCAATTCAGCAATGCAGGTACATGCTGCCTCACGAACTGCATGATTGTCAGAAGCTGCTGCTTCTACATAGTAGTCCACCTATAGGAAATCAAGAAACCAATTTTTTATGTGAACAAGAGAGCATTATTAAAAACTCAAATATATAATTTTTATATGCATTCAAGTGCTCATCCTAACTGCTCTGTTGAATCTGAGATTGAAGGAAGGGGTTTGAGATAAAAACCAAATTCAACCTTGACTTGAATTTTCAATATTTGCAGAGATGTTTTCTGGCATCAACTTACTACATGGGAAATAAATTGTGAGACAAGATGACGTCCATGAGATCCAGCAACCTGTCGCCATGTTTCTTGTGAATATAGGCGTACACCCTCAGCCATGTAGTATCTGGAATAATGCCATTAATCAAGGAACCTTATCATCATGAATATGAAGGTATCACATGAGGTCAACACATGTCCTCTAAATTGATAATGAGATTCTTCTCTTCAATATAGATTTGAAGAAGTTTTTTTCCCTCCAACATTGTGGAGTTTAAAAAAAATCCATATTCTCCTTGTGCATATGATAAAAGAGTTCCTTACCGATTGAGGCACATGCGAGGGATAAGAGTGGGAAGGAACTGGGCTTGTAATTCTTTGTTTGGCAAGGAGGTCAGGAACTTTCTGGTTGCCACAGAGGCAGCAAGGCGAACCTATTGGGAAAAAGAGGTCAACTGATGGAAATCAGTCTGGAAGGGTGATTACTGACATTTGACAGAATATTCAATGCAAAATTATACCATTCCAAGGAATCCATTGTTATCTGCTTCCTGAATCCGATTTTTGAATGATTACTTTTTTTTTTAATGATTACTTTTTTTTTGTCGTTTTCTGTTCAGGACTCAGGATTTCAGGATATTAGTAGGGAAAACTCATGTTGCACTTGGTAGAACCTCTCTCTATCTCAGGAATCAGATTTGGCACTTGTTTTTCATGTCCGTTCTTACCAAAAGGGGTCACCTACCTGGCTACAACTATCCGCCAGGCCCTTAGCCAGATGCTGACAGAATTCCACTCCATAGATGCACAGAAGATTGGACGCTGATAGAGCCTTCTCATCATCATTTGTACCTGTGCCATGGATTAAAGTAATTCAGTCAGAGATAGGTCAGAATCATGAAAGACTAATACAAATGGCCTAACGCCACCTTCACCTTTTGGAACTGCCCCACATGTGACAAGAGAGGAGCACATATAGTACCCAGTTTCTCGAACAAAGCGGTTGGTATGCATTAATGCAGCAAATATGAAATCAAGCAGCTGCTTGGTCACATAAGGCTGAAAGGCCATCCCACACCCATCGATCATCTCTTGCAGTGCCTTCATACTTGTCTCCAGGTTCTTCCACCCAGTCGTATCATGAAAAACTTTGGCAGCATCTGCTGAGTTCTTTTCAACAAGAAAAAAAAAAACCTTTTAGTTTTCACACAGACAGACTTACCGAATGTAAAAATGGAAATTCTAAAGGGTCCAAAGTCATGCAACCCATAAAAAACTGTCAAAGAGGAACAAAGTGGCACAGAGTTGCTCAAGAAAGAGCTATAAGGTGTCCTGTGGTGTCACTGCATGACCTCTGTATTTTTGGCTTCCATAGTCTGCAGATTATGTGAGTTGTTTATGCTGACCCTGATCTTAGGGTATCCCAATAAAAAGTAGTAGGGCAGTTCCAAAGTTACTGATGTAAGACTATACTCAAAATGAAAACACGTACGATGGTGTACCTTAAAGATGGTTCGGTCCAGAAATTCTACTTCAACAGTACCTAATAGAGCATAGATACCTAAACCAATTCTGGACAAAATTTTCTCAGTTCTCCCATGGATGAAAAAAAGCAAAACCATTTATGATGTACCACTTGTATTATTTATGATGTACATTTATGATGATGTTACTGATGCAACACAGTTTAGACAATGGTTTCTGTTCTGCTGCTTCCTTTCCAATTCTCTCCAATTTGGCCAGACCTGAAGCTTCTGTATTTTCAGAAAAGAAGGTATAGACCATCACCTTTACAAACGCCACATGACATTTACTGTTGCTCAAAAATGAATTGGCTAGGTGAGTCCTCCAGTATTATTGATGTAACAAATTAGTCAATAAGTGAGTTTCACCAACAAAATGGAACAGTGCAGGAATGATGAAAATCCATCCCACACCATGTGATGAATGTTTAGTGTTGCTTACTTGGTCCAGGTTTAGTATCTATACAAAGCAGGAAAAGCAAGTTGAAGTTGGATGACATTTCATAAATTAATTTTTCATCACTTTTGTCCCAATAACCTTTGAAAATTACTGTCATGAAAGGAGTCTTAAAGCAAGACCATTGCTCTATTAGTGGTGTAGCATATTGCCATATTTGTTAGGACTACCGATTTTGGACTTGACACGAAACTTTTCTTGGGAAGTAGCTGATAGGCAAAAGCAGGAAGTTGAAGGAATTCAATAATATAAATAGCAAAAATTATATTTTATTATATATTAAGATATTACACATTAATGATGTAACTGACTTAAAAATTCAGAGATTCAGGGTCAGAGCATAGGAATAAGTTTCAATCAGAAAGATTTTAAAGACCATTATAGGTTTTTCAGAAGCATGAAAATAATAAATAAGAAAGTCAAAGGTGACAAGGAAATTTAAATGACCCACACCCAAGATCATGGCAGCTACTTTCAGCTTTTTTAATGAAACATTGTCTATGGTACACATGTTTAAATACATTCCTGCAAGACTTGGCATTTTGGTGTCACTTTGTTCCTGTTTAACAATGTTTTTCAATGGTTGCATGACTTTTGAATCATCCTGTAGTTGAGTTGGTAGTGCCTCAGACGGGGAGTTCCTCTTCCTGATGGGCTCAGCAGAACGAAAGTTTATTTGTCCATCACTGGTCACAACATTGACCAGCAGCATGCAATGGGATGCATTGTGTCATAAGTTGGAAGTACATCATTTGATTCTGAATTTAAACAAGATGCAGTTCCCCAGAATTGATACATGTAAGACTCATACCTGTAGTATTATGCCTGGATATGCAAGTTAATTGATAAGGATATTGGGTACATATTAGAGCATGGGGTGTAATATTGGAGTGAATTGCATCACATGGTAATGCAACGAGGAGAAGAGATGCTAAAAAAATTTAAACTTATTTGATTATCATCTCATTCGACTTAAAAATATCACAAGGTAATCATATCTATACTATTGGCTTTATAATGAGGTACCCAGAATGATGGCAGTTCCCATTACTCAAGCTCAAACTCAAGCTTGAACCACCAAATAGCCCTTATTTTCCTGAGACACATTTTGGAAAAAAAAATACACACCAAAGAAAAGCCTTGTCAAATTTGTGCTCTTTCCATCAAAAGATCATGCTGGCATGGAAGATTTTTACTCATAGATTAATATTTGCTTTGATTTTAAGACTTGGTTTTAGGTTTAACCTTTTCCACTTGAATGGGCGAGTATACATTGGTACATTGAGTGTTGCAAAAATTCGAGTGGAAAAGGTTAAACTAGAGCTGTCATGATAGAAGTTTTCAAAACATCGATGGATCGACCTGAACTATCGATAGTGTATCGATGCATCGGGTGGGGAGGGGGGGGGGGGGGCAGGAGGTTTCCATCTTTTCTCACCGCGATTGGAGCGTGGACCTCTATCTGGCTTTTATTATCTCATGCTTGTTGTCGGGAGTGCAGGGGGAATGTATGACCTTCGCAAAGAGTAATGAAACCTACCATGCCTCCAACTATCGAAGATGACATCCATTCATCGATGGATGCATCAGGACAACCCTAATTTTTCCTATTGCCGTTGAGAATCAGCTGTCAAGCCCCATTCACGTAATTATTTTTTTCTTTTTCTTCGTTCTACAATGTCTTTGGACATTGGCACCGCCAGATAGGAAACCTGCTGATGGTTCCATACTGGTTGTCGAAACATCGGTACAGCCCTAGTATAAGCAACGTCTATGTACAATATTCACTCTGAGTTCACCTTAAGTAGAGATAAATGCCCTAGGGCAAGTTAAAAATTAAGAACATTGACCCTGTATACTAAAGTGATAGGAATATAGAGAGCGGATTAGCCAATGTAGGTTTCAAAATCAAGGGAGTATAAGAACAGTTCTCTTTCTTAGCATGCACCTGATTAGATCAAGTCGAAAACAAAAACCGAAGAGAAAAAATTTTTTTCTCGGTCTTTCCCTCTCTCTCACTTCCTGTCTCCGATCCTACTTTTTTTTCCCTTCCCAACTTTCTTATAGTCAGTCCCAGCATTTCCGGAATTTGATTGTGATAATAAATTGCAAGCCCATGTGGGTCACGCCACTTCTTCCTTTCCCCACCTGGACGGACTGTATTGTACTGTACTCACCTCAATCCCAATGAGACATTTCCCCTTTAAAATACTTTGTCGATGCATCGCGATGGTCGAAAAAACTATCGATATCTCCAACTATCGATAGTGGTATCGATGCATCGGCCTATCGTGACACTCCTAGTTTAAACTTGTAGTTTTGTAAGTAGAAACAAGTCTGAGTACAATAGCTATTAGAATTTTCATGAATAAGTGGCTCAGCAGGCTAGTCCTCACCACACTGGCCATGGAATAGGCAGCATACTTATTTTAAGATATTATTGAAAATTGCTATTTTATCTACAAAAGTACCATTTTCATAGAGACTGACAAGTAATGGCACAAAATTGGTACAAACAGCATACACCAACCACTTCCTATCAATGTATTTCCTAGCACAAAATGGAAGTTCAAGTTGCCTTAATAAAATCACTTGTATGCCAAAATAGCAGAAGATGATTAGCTGAGGATGCTAGAGAGAGAAGTAATCACAAAATAAAACTATTGTTAAGTCACCTACCATCTCAAAAGCCACAATATCAGAGTGGTACATATTTTACATGTAATCTGGTACAGAACCACAATGATTCTGGGAACATTAAATGTCACACATTATTCTTGGAAAAATAATAAATGGAGATTTTTTTATGCTGATGCACACTAATTTACTCTTCTCAGGAATCTCTGCAATGAGAATACTCATGTCCAATATTGCAGCTCCTCTCCAAGAAGTCCAAGAAATAAAGTTCAGGAATGCCTAAAATCCCTTTCTTCCAATCCCATTAAAATTGCAATCCTCTGTTTCTTTATGCATTCCTCCTTTGTCTCTTGTGAAAAAAGGGAATAACCCAATTTGAATGATCATCTCCACACTTGTTTTCATTAAATTATCTACATCACACAACACTGAGTAGATGTTGCTTGCCTTCAAGTTCTGCTGGTTGAAGAGACCCTATAGAGGTTCACCCCACTTTTGGACCATTTTATGGTTTATTTATATGTAAGTGTAGGACTCTGGGAAAGATCAACATTGTCAATTCACATCTGTCAAAGACCCAACTCTCTTCAAATGAAAATTAAAATGGATTTCTCTCATGGATTTTCATGCACACATGTAGAATGGTTGAAACTGTCCACTTGTAACCAAGTTCCATGGTTGAGTAACAAAAATGTCAAAAAATGCAATCAATATTCCTGGAATTTAGCCAATAATCATTGACTTGTGTTCAGCACACTCCCCTCAAATTGGAATTTTGATGTTAGTTTTCCTGTCATTTCATACCACCCCCCCATAGATAAATCATAAATGATGCATTAGAAAATATTTTAAATCTCTAGCAAAGTTGCAGAAGCAAGAAATGGGGAGAATTGCATCTGTAATCAGAGCTGACCTAGCTTGGCCTGATTGCATGCTGCTGATGTTGGCTTTTCTTTAAACAGTTTTCAAACCCTTGAGATGGCTAAAACAGTCTTGCACAAGGTTGACAAAACCAAAGCTTCATTAAACAATGATATCCTGTCAGATGATGCAAAAAACTGCAAGTATGCAAAGAAAAATGTGACCTTCCTCTTATCTGGAATGAGAATGAAAAGATATTGTGACACAGAGGACCAATTCGTGTAAATTGGAACACGTTTCATGCCATTTCATCAATGCCAAACTTGAATATGTTTACTCAATTCTGATTGAACTAGTCAGGAGATAATCATACACAGATGTACTAAATATGCACAAAAGGTTTGAAAACTGCTTATTTACCCATAAAAGTTACAAATTCTAGATTGGAACTGACCCTTCTCTGGCATCCAGTGAGTTTCTCCATCAACTTCCGAGATTGTTGCATTTCATGTTTTGTGTTTCCAGTGATAGCTTCAGGCTCTGAAACAGCTGAGTCAGGCTCAGTTTGCCTCTCGAGGTTCTTGTGAATAAGGTCCAAGACTCTTGTTTGACATGTCTCATACACATGGGGTCCCACTTGAGCACAAAGGGCACCCAGCAACTCCCCTGATCAACAACAAGACAATTATAAAACAAATCACATCAACTAATGAGAAACAACCAATAAAGATCTGCTCACCTGCTGCAATACGAACCCTGACCTCAAGATGGACTAAGAGGTCAAGAGCAACTTCCCTGACCTCTTGGGTAAGGGAATGAAAATCACACACCATTAGAGTTCCCTTGTAGTTTGATATAATGGCCCGGATGCCCATCAAAGCACCATGCTTGCTCTCCCAAGGTGTGTCTGGACTTCGGGCCAGATCAAGAAATGAGTTGTATAAAGCCCAAATTTCCTTTTCATTGCCAGTAGTGATGAAATGCTGTAGAGACGTAATGCCCTTGTCACGTTCAAGCTTCTGAGAACTGCAGAGTTGAGTAATGACTGCTTCCCTAGAACTTAAACTTGACTCATCGGTCTGTGCCATCACCCTGGCTTTATTATTTTCCCTTAACAGTAAGAAACAGAAGCGAATGTGATATTATATGATGTAATAATACAACAGCACCACTCTGAGAAAGTAGCTAGGGATGGACAAAAGTTTGCAATCCTTCCACGGGAAAAAGCTTCCCCAGCATTGTTCAGCTGAACAAAGCCAAGAAAAATATCCATGATGCAAAGATAGAATTAAAAGTGGAAAAAAGCAGAGGAATCTGAAAAAATAAGTTTAGTTCTTCCAGAATCACATCAATGGTTTTTCAGTCTACAATTCTAGAAAACATATATACAAAACAATACCTTAAAAAAAAAATAAGCTCAGCTTCAGTGGCAACCAAAATCTACACTAAGATCATCAACATTATATCACCTCATCAGGAGATATTATAGGTATTTTTTTTCCCTTTTATTCCCACACTATGAGAATCCCACCACAGGGAATAATGAAGGTGAGAAAAAAACAAGCTCACATTGAATATTCCACAAATTATGTTTGAACCCAGAGAGATCCCAAAAGAACTACTCAGGGATATTTGTAGACATTAGGAAAAGGCACACATTGGAAAAAAAAGTATTGGTGAAGATCAAATTTGACTTTGTACTCAATTGAAAAGCAATTATTGAGTAGTAAGAAGACATCATTCAAGGTAGCATCACTTCAATGCCAGAAAATTTGTAGTTTCTCTTTGCAGCGCTATCTTGAAATTTCTCTTATCTGTGGCTGATAGACAGTATCTAATTACACATGAATTAAGACCTTACAAAATCAGTTTTTTCTCCAAAAACATCATCCCACAAGAATCTTTTCAAAGGGTTTCTCTTCAAAGAAATTTCAATGGATTTATCATTGATCTATGGCACTCTGAAAAGCCATCATGACAAGGAACAGGGGATAAAAAGCTGACTTGAAACTCTGTCCAATCCTCTTGCCAATCATTCAGATTAATCTGCCAGTCGGATGTGAAAAATCAAGCAATAACAACAAATGGCCATGGTAAGAATGCATTAAGAATTGAATTTTAGTGACCTTCTCTGGGCTAGAAACCTTGTTTTTTAAATTAAAAAAATGTAAAATGAAACCTTTACAATAACTTTGTTTAAATTCAAGCTTTGGTTGAATTTTTCAAATGCTTGTTATGCCACAGGCACAAGATCATGAAGTTTGTTGTTCCCCACTCTGGCATCACTGCATTTTATTTATGATTTTGAGTTCTTTAATTGATGCAGAGAAACACTTCTTATGCTTGCCAAGCTTTTGATTATTTTTTCCACTTTGTAGAAAATACAAAGGGAGAAAACTGTAAAACCCAAGAGGATGCCTGAAGATGGTTAGGGGGAAGGGGGGGGGGGGGCAGAGGGGCAGTCCACCCATACACTATCTCTGGGAGGTGATGAATCAAGACTGTAACAACTTTGTCCACTGTGCAGCTAAGAATTTTCCCTTTTCCAATTAACATTATAATAATGTTGAGTTCTAGTACAAGTTTGAACTTGAAAGTAAAAGCATTCCTGCTAATATTGATGAAAGCTTCACCTTTAAGCACAATCATCCAAGAATTGCAGAATGAATCTTGTCTTTGAAGTTAATAACAAACACTCATTCCTATTGCAGTGAGAACTTTTAGTTAGCATATGACATTATATTATAAATAAGAAGCAATGACATCCAGTTGACTACTTTTTTTTCACACTCTCCATTTCTAGGAGAATCTTCCATTACTGGGCATTGCAGATAGACCTACCAGTCTCACAATAACTAACATCAGATCAAAAAGCCACTTGATTCAGAATATTGTTCATACATGTTTATTAATTTCCTTCATTGTCATCAAAGGGAATGGCATTCCTGACACAGTGAATCTATTCACAACCTGGCACAATTTTCTGGGATGTAAAGTAGGGCCAACTATGCTATAGCTGAAATTGAGTTCAAAGACTAATAACCATAAAATTACTGTATTCTCTGCCAAATAATAAGCATATTGCAATACAGGACAACACTGTCTAAAACTTGTCTCATGAACAAAGGATCATCAGCAAGATTCCTGCAATGAGAAAATATCATTTTTACTCCACAGAGAATGAGATTTTCTTCTGGCTAAATTTGTATGATTTGGCCCACATATCTTGCTGCAATTTCCTCGCAGTTAAAAAATAAGGAAATAATGGAAAAAGCCAAAATAGGACAACATATTTATCAGAAACTGAGAGTCTCTCACATGGTAACTTCAGAGTCTGGCATGTTGCATAGAAAGTATCAGGGGGAACTCAAATCCAAGGTGAAAAATGGAACCTCAAAAACATGATTAAAAAAATATTAATACTGTATTGTGTAGCTTCCCGTCACTGCAGTTATGCAAGGGGTCATCAAAGCAAAGTAAGAGGGAATGCAAAGGGAGTACTCTTATGAAGAGGCTTGTGAATTCCTCTCATTCTCACAAGGAAATGAGACAGTTTCATGCAAATTTCAAAATCTCTCAAAAGGGGGGAAGGCATGCCCTTGCCTCCAGTTGATTCAAATAGCTTGGGTGATAGTTTTCCACCCGTCCTTTGAGTATGTTGGGACCCAGGAAATGGCCCAGCTGCTGCAGGCAGTGACTTGCTGCACTACTTGCTGGGGAATTTTCACATCCCTGAGTCAGATAACAAAAGGTAAGCAGTGAGAAATCGAATGCATATGAAGAGTTGAAGGAAAATAAATCTTGCTTTCAATGAAAACAGCTATGTCCCAAAGTGCAGCCCTGGCCTGTTGCCCAACCTACAATATTGTGATAAGATATTACTGATTTCTATTGAGTACTATTGTAATAAAAATATTTATTCTCTCCATAATAAGCTCATAAATTAATAATGGCGATAATCACAGCTCCAACATTTGTAAGAAGATAGTGGAGACAGGGCTTATGCATAATTTTACAATGTGCCAATGACAACCACATGTCTAGCCCCCATAATCCATGAAATGGCTCCAATGTCTGTTTATCCATAGATGCTAAGGGCTGACTTTATATGACGTCATTTCCACTTGAGACGATATAAAATCTGACTCAATAGGGGCAACCTCCAACTTACTGTAAAGACCACTTCTCAAGCTAAAAATCAGATATTAACTCCTTCCATTATGCAAATTAACATAGTACTAACTGCCCAGTGTATAGAGACATACACATTTATTGCAACTTTTTTTGCATGCAGGTTGGATGGTGGCTGTTGGGACAGCCTCAGAGAGGTCAGAAGTTGAAAGACCAACCAGTGCATAGAAGATTGGATCGAAGAACAGCTCAAGGTGAGACTTGAAGACCTTCTTGCCAAGCCCTTGGGCAATGTCAGGGAGACGTAAGCACAGGGTTTCCAGAAAGCACAGATGATGAACATAGTGACGATGCTGTGCAGCTTCTGCCAGTATAGGAAGGATTGGTGGAAGGGAGCCTGAGGCTTCAGGGATCTGGCTCAGCTCTCCGATTAAATGGACATACCTTCATGTTTTATCAGTTTGGATACATCAGCAGATGGGAAAAGGATAGAAACAATGAATGTGATGCTAAACTCCACATACCCATCAGCCACTTCCCATGGTTGGGCAGGTCTTTTGAACTTTCTATCTATGCTACCCAAGGAGCTTCCACCATGTACCACCTTTGGAGTCAGAGAATCACATTTGCACATCTGAGGAGTAAATTTTGATTTTAGGAGGTTTGTCCTGCAAAATAGAGGGCATAATTTGCCCGATTTGTAAGGAAGGTATCAAATGGTTAAGTTGTTTATTCAAGTTACATATGCATCTCAAAGAGTCAGAGAAACTCAGAAAATTCAGAGAAAAGCATCTATTACCTTGCCCATCCACCCGTTGGATGAAATGGCAAGTGGGAAAACCAAGATATTTTACCAAAAGCTGGAAGCAGATAAACATACAAAAATTGCAGCCCTATGCATGTTATTCATCGCAGCCAGTAAGAAAGGGAGGAAAGTTAAAAAAATATAATCAATCTTCAGGGACCTACCATCTTACAACAGAGACACTGCAAAAAGGACATTAGTCATATGAATAAGTGCAACTGTATACAAGCAATCATTCTCACAAAATCCAACCATTTTAGGGATTAAATTAAATAAGCATTTAAATCTTTGCTCCTAATTATAGTCGGCCTCTTCCTGAGAATATAAACAAAATAATACAAAATACCTTATTAATAATTATTAGATTTACTCACTTGCTTGTCAGAATGGAACTCTTTGTCATGGTCCCTTGACCCCTTTACAAGTCCATATCCTGCATGACCCATGCCAAGTTCTCCATAACTCTCAGACTGTGAGGGCTGATCCTTGATTCCCTCCAGTCCTGGTTTCAATCTCTCCATCACCATCTTCAGTGCATCAAGCTTATACACTTTCACCACTTTTGCAATAGCAACTGCAGCTCCTATGGCATTAGGGGGATGATGATCATTCCCCCCTGCATGGATTCAGCATGAAAGCATTAAGACAAGGAATGATTACCAGTGCGAACTAATGGAACATTATCTTGCAGATTAGCGAAGAACAGGGGGTAAAATGCATCCATTTTGATTTGTGATTCTTCAGGGAAATGGCTCACAAAGTTTCCAGATGCCAGACATGCAGCTGCAAAGAAGAGAGGCTTCCAGTCAATTCAGGGAAGCACATAATCAGGTCATCACAATGATCAAATTACAGTTTCTATAGGTTGCATTAGGACATGACAGATCAGCAGTGTCCAACCTTTCAGGCTCAGAGGCTACATAGATCGCTCCCACAGCCAATGCAGGCCATGGGCAGTCATTAATATTGTAGGTGACAATTTTAAAGTGGGTATTTATAATATTGAGGGTATTTATTGTGGATTAGGGCCTCACAGACCACTTGTAAGCACCTCATGGACCGCGGGTAGGGAACAACTACGATAGATCATTCTTTCCATTCATTCCATTCCATTCCACTTGAGTTCCTTTGAAACATTATAGCATATTCAAAATAATAAAATAGCATATTGACAAATGGAACTAGGTGATTTTCAAGGCAATTTTAGTGTGTAATTTATATCTGTATGTTGACAAATTATAAGGGACTATTTTCCCACTTTCAGTCTTCATTACATTTTCAGTTTTTATAGCTAAGAAGAACAATGAGAGCTGTGACATTTATGATCCTGTCAGCAACAGGCATTGAATTACCTAAATTTACTTGAGTATAGTGCACCACTGTGTATAAGATGCACCCCACTTTTGAGGTCCCTATTCAGGGACCTCAAGTGTTGGACAGGGAAGATGAGCAAAGGGGTAAACCTGGTTGTGAGGTCAGTCAAACCTAGTTTCTTATTCACTATCCTGACCTTTATTGAGAGGGAGCACAGAAACTTCAACATTTGTTTTCTTATCTGTGAAAATGAATGAAAATGTATGGCAAAGTTACACAGCAGCAGAGAAATCAATGTGATTCAGGAAGTGAAGGAGTTGGGCATCCATGCAATAGGTCTTCAATATGACATCAAGGAAGGCAGTATATGGAAGCAGATCAAGGTGAAGGTGAGATTGAGCTGGGCACTCAAGAATCTCATGGCCTTTGTGGGGAAAGAGGGATCGATTCCGGTAATTGTGAAGTGGCCGAATACGTAAAAGAGTGAATCTGTACTTCTGTAGTAAAATCCTTGATGAAGCCTACCATGTAAACATTTTTGCTTCATTCTGGCACTGTTTGCTGATTTTTGGTCTCAAAAGGATGGTCTATGTGCAAAACTAGGATTGACCAGTACAATTGCAAGAGCAAACAGGATGCATCAAATTTTCTCCCATAGATGCATCATGAGGACGAATGAGATGAACAGACACTTCAATTCATGAAGCAAGCTGGATTTTCTCCTCGTTGAAAAACCTCAGAGGCTCAAAAATTTTCATGAGAAATGACTGTCTCTGGATTCGCCCCTCGGAAGAGGATGAGGGACCGTTCCAGAGCTCACACTGCCAGACATCTCAGATTCTGATTCCAATACTGAATCAAGCCCACAAATAGACATAGCCATTCCCTGTTTACTGTTTTATTATTATAGCATTACATTTCCCCTGTTCTGACTGACTACAGACAGTGTTTCCCCCTTAATAAGTGACCAATGAGTTATAGGTATGTTGAAATAAATTTTTTCTTGGAAAAGATCATTTTTCCCCCCATGTATAAGACACACCCCTCATCAAACATAATAAAATGCACCTTATACATAAATAAATATGGTAAATGGTGTCCCCAATGAGTGTAAACCATGCAAGTGTGCATTAGACTGAAGCAAGTGTTGCTGAATCCATTAATAGTTTCATCTCCCTTACTTATGAAAACAAAAGAACAATCTAGTAGACATGGTTACATGCATTAAAGAAAAACCAGAGCTAATATATGTGAATATAGTCAGGAATACTGTATCAAACATCTGATATGATTTAGTTGTCACAACACAGATGTCATATGGTCAATAGGGCAAAATATGAAAGCCAATAGTAGAGCTATTAAGCTCTCATGGAAAGTGTCTGGTCCTGCATGGACTAAGACCCATGACAGGAATGGTTCCACAGATGTCTCTAGGGTATCATGTGTGGCACACTAGTCTTTCTGTCATGTTGTCTTGTCTTGTGTCAGATAGTCCTTTGTGCCCTGTCTCTCAAATCAGTCATTTTTAGTTGGAACTTCACATCAGTCCTTCATGACCTGCTCTTCAAGTTGGATGAGAATATTTCCCGTACTCAGAATTAACAAAGTTGAAAGTCCCATACCTGTATTGAAAGGTTGAAAGGAAAAGGCCAATTTCTGGACCCAACTGAGGAATATTATGACTGTTGGCCAGTGACCCTCCTTTGGAAACAACTGCACCTCCCATTGTTCACTGAACCCACCTTTTGCTGATCCTCAACCGCCTGCAATATTGCTTCTCCTGATAGTCTTTTAACTTATATTAAATTCTTGTTGTTTATCTGATTGTAATTTTAATCAGTCATCACATTTGATTTAAAAGTTAAAAGTAACTAAGTTCAAAATGAGGTCCACCACATGACACCACATGACATGACACAAAATGAGATGCATTATTTATCCAGAGTAGCACTACTTAAAAAATAGTCTATCAAAGGCTTGAATGGAACAAATGCAAAACATTTCCATTTTTCCGGTCTTCTTGCTGTTTCACATTGAATTTCTACATTTGTTTCATCTCTGATTATTTTCTCAATTTTTAATGATTTTTCTGGTATCTTGTAGGTTCTGCATTGCAACCGTGACTGCAAGTGATTCAATCATGAGATGTAAAGTGCTAAATGGATGCATACCATCGCGAACAGGCCAGCTATCATCTTGGAAACACCTGAGCAAGGTATCCAAGAGGCAGGGGACATATTGCTTCATAACACTTGCATCAACTTTGGCAGCCAATTCAGCAATGCAGGCACATGCTGCCTCACGGACTGTACCATTTTCAGCCTCAGCTGCTTCTATATAGTAGTCCACCTGTGAAAATGCAAGCATCAATTCTTTATTATAACAGAAAAGCACTGCTGAACATCTCAATCTTGATTCATGAACTTACCACTTGGGAAAGGTATTGTGTGACTAGGTTACGTCCAAGTGATTCTGTAACGTGTCGCCATGTATCTTGTGAATAGAGCAACAGGCGTCCAGGCTGACCCCCAGTCATGTAGTACCTGCAAAAATAACACTAATCATGAACCAACCAACCAACTAGAAGACAATAGGTACAAGTACAACACCAGACAGTCAAGACTCAGATGAGGAGATTCTTCTTGATATTGGTTTACAGAACAAAGGTTTACTTTTCGAACATTTGAATTTAGAAGACCATAATGCCAGTACCCACTGCACATAGGAATTATGACATTGCTCACCGATTGAGACACATGCGAGGGATGAGAGCTGGAAAAAATTTGGCTTGTGCATCTTTGCTTGGCAAGGAGATCAGGAATTTCCTGGTTGCCACAGAGGCAGCAAAGCGAACCTTTTGGGGAAAGACAAGACATGTTCAGTCACAACAGAGAAAGGGCAGGAGTGTGTCCAAAAGTAAGGTTTTGATTGCAAAATGGAATTTAAAAAAATAGGGTATGGTTGTAAAGGTCTTGGCTGGAGAATTCCAAATACTAGGGTATGATTGCTATTCTGATTAGACATGTGTGACATTGATTTTTTAAAGTGACTGATATCACTGATTATATATTAACCGATGCAATATAATATTGATGTACATTGCAATATCACTTATCCCTTAATTTGGAATCAGAAATATGAAGGAAAAAACTTCAAGTTGCAGTTGGGAATCACACATTGCTACAGATTCCATATGTAGCAAAAGGAATGGTGGTTTGTTTAGGGCTATCATGATGGTAATGTTGAAGACATCCTTGCATAGATTTCATCAACCATACCAGTCATGCAGAGGGTATACAGTCTGTGTGTCCATACAGTCAGCAGAATGTAGAATTGATAAATGGTGCAATTTAAGCTTGTCCAGGAGCACAATCTTCTCACAGAGGGACAAATCCTTGTGCTTAGATTTCTTGAATACTGATGTGGACTCCAATTGCAGACAGATGGTTTAAATCCACCATAAACAGAAAAACTCACCCAGGACTACAGCTCCATAAAAAAAACGGAAATACCCAACCCGAGCTAATGGCTCAAATCTACAAAAGAAACGGAAAAATCCATCTCAGACTGACGGCTGCCCCTCTACTCCAACCCCGACCTCGCCCCAATAAAGTGGATTTTTGTCCTGAATATGCGGTGAAATTTTAATGCACTTGCGTAGAAATGATACCGTTCCTGACAAAATGTCCTGATAAACCGGCTGCCCCCAGTAACCGATGACCCAATTAAGCGGAATCCACTGTATATCCATTTGTGATGGCTGCCCTATGAACTTGTTAAGTCTAATACTCTATGTATATTTATGAACACATGTGATAGTAATTAGACAAAGTATTTTGAAGAGATTCTTTGGTAATGAAGAGAAGAACCCAGGGTAAATATAGGATTTTCAGGCAAAACAACATGGTCCATTATTATGTATCCATTCTGTAAAATATTTTTTATTTCTACAAATACAAATACCTATGCCAAATAGGAAAGTAACATTAGGGCATAGCATAATTATAGTTATGCACTCATGGCCATCCTCTCGACATTTTTTTTGTGGGGTTTTGTGAAGAACAAAGTCTATGGGGCAAAACTTAAAAACTTGCCAGATCTCATGCAGTGCATCATAAACACCATACAAATGATCACTACTGAAATGCTTCATAATGTCTATGCTATAACTGAACATACCAGCATGAAGTATTGTTCTGATATCATGAGTGAAGACATATCTATATCCTGAATGAGAACTCTTCAAAATCTATGAATCAAGCAAAAATAGCAAAATGGGGTCATGTAAGTGACTGAATGAGATTATAGCATGCAAGTCCTCATTTTAGGCAATTACATGCACTATTTTCACTGGTAAATCTAAAAATAAAAATGCTCAATTTTCTTCAAAGAGATTATGAATTATTATATGAAGAGATGAAAATTCCAATGCAAAAATTACTGGGAAAAAATGGAAGCAATATTAATTATTAGTCAATGAAAATTTGAAAAAACTCATCTTACTTGCAAAATAATTGGTCTAAACTTTCCATTGAAGAAAGTCTTTTCCTCAGTTAATTTCAAAATCAAGGCATGAGCAAAAGGGTCAAAGGTCAGAAACTTGCAATTCAAGTAGATAATAATGAAAAGTGACTAAAATAAAGTTTTGAGGACTGACATGAAGACGGAAAGTCACCCATAAGCAAAAATCAGAATACAACTAAAATTTGATGGGCAAGAACAGGACTAAATTAAAATATGCAATCCAAAAGACTGTAACTAATACTAGTGATTTAAAGGACTGAAGCTACAAAAATGGCACACTACAGGGTGTTCCATTTAAAATGCAACCCAAAGTACAACAGCAATAAAACAAGACAAATGAGTTGTTTGATGGTTTTAATTTGTTAGGAAGAATATTACAGGAACATACAGAACAGTTTCACAGCAGATGCTGAAAATGTCCACCACCTTCTTGAAGACAAGACAAGACTTCATTTTTGTACTGTAGTACATGATTGTTGCTGGGTTTAGTTTTAAATAGAACACACTGTATATCAATAAATACATAAGATCCTAATAAAATGTTACTGTACTTGAAAAAAAAAAAAGAAGCTAAATAGAGATTTATGAGAACTGCACTGTACTCTTAGGGACCACCCATTTCATTTGAACTAAAAGTGATGCACATATGATAAAAGGAATTCCACTAAAGGGTGCTTTAAAAAAGAATGAAAAAAATAGGACACCCTGGGCAGGAGGTAATCTTACTTGAACCACTGGCATTTTGTAACTGTTGTTGTGGCTTGCTTATTTTGCTGCTGTCATTGTGAATTCACTGAATTGTTGACCTTAATGGCCACCAGATATGTTCAGCTGTCATAATGCAACTGAAATTGCTGGCATACAGAAAATGGATAAAGAAAATACTCAACACGAAACACTTTCATTTGGCTCCCACATGGGTGGGAAGACAACGGGGTGAGCCTTATTCCAGCCTTAGCCAGGGTGGGTTCCTTAGGTGGGGAACCTCTATATCAATCAACCCCATGAGTAATAGATAGTGCAAACAAAAAAGAACCAGTTCTGAATAAGGCTGCCTACCTGACTCCAGTTATCAGCCAAGCCCTTAGCCAGGTGCTGACAGAATTCTTCTCCATATACACATAGTGGATTGGCCTCTGACATAGTCTTCTCATTATCACTCCCACCTGAGTCATGGGTTTGAGCAACTCAGTCAAAAAGAATAGTCAGAAACCAAGGTAACATTAAAGATGAATGAATTCTTATACCATCTTTTGGAGCTGCTCCACATGTGACAAGAGAAGAGCAGACATAGAATCCAGCCTCTCGGATGAAGCGATTAGCATGAGTCATAGCAGCAAAGATGTAATCAAGCAGCTGTCTGGTCACATAAGGCTGAAAGGCCACCCCACACCCAATGACCATCTCCTGCAGTGCCTTCATGTTTGTCTCCAGGTTCTTCCATCCAGCCATGTTGTGACAAATTTGTGCAACATCTGCTAAGTTCTTTTCAGAAAAAGAATATATCTTTTAGGCCTCACACTTTTAAAGATTTATCTAGTGGGAAAACTTTTTTATAGATAAGGTGGTGATGTCAGTCAAAGAGTTCTCTTCCTGATGAGTTCAGCAGAACGAAAGTTGTTTTTTTTTTTCCATCACTCATCACCATACTAATCAGTGGCATGCAATGGGATCAAGAGTGTCAGTTATGGGCTCACGGGATTACATGATATTGTAATCCATGATACTATGATATGGTTCTGCAAGGAGTATGAGAGAAAAAAAAAAAGTTAATTCATCTAATTATCAGCTTGACAAACATCAAACAGCATGTGTACCTGAATTTAACCTTACTATCTGCTGTAATTAGACAAACCATGGTGCATCCTTGGCCCAAAATGCACCAAGAATCAAATGGTCCACAGTGTCCTCAAAACAGCAGAGTGGGAATGTTTAGTTCACATGATGCACAGCAGTCTAATGATTTAGGATTGCGTTCAAAAGCTATTACCAATTCCACTGTTTTCTGGGAAGTATGTGGATGGCCAGATCTCACTTCATCATTGACAGATCCAGTCTGTTTAAATTTTTTTTGCCAATTCACAAACTGTGGGTTCAGGTTTATTAAATCTTCTTTGGAACTGTTCTCTGATCTCATTGCATGACATGCCTTGGAGTCAAAGTGAAACCATTGCCACATGTTCATGAAGACCCAACATTATCAATCAATATCCCTGCAACATCAAGATATCATTAATTCAGCAAAATAGATAAGGACTTTTTGGACACCTTGTATAACATGAAAGTGAAGCATTTCTATGGTAGGTTTTATAAAATATCAAAGACACAAGTTGCTGCACCATCCAGTATACTATAAATCTGGGAACATAAATCATGAGATTCTCTGATAAAAAAAATAATAAAAGCTCTTGAGATTTTATGCATTAATGCCAACTAGTGCAGAAATTTTACTTTCATTTGAAATTATAGTCTGATTGCATGCCACTGATTGTTTCCCTGAACAGTTTTCAAACCAGAAGCTCTAACCATGCAGAACAAATATAAAAACCTTACACATGCTTAGGTTGACCATGCTTAACCCTTCGACTGTTATAACACAGGGGTGGATGGCTGATACATTTTCATATAAAAATTGGCCCTGCTTGTTCAAAAACAATAGTTTATGTAAGATAATTTCATATCATGATAACTATTGAAGATAGCTGTTAATGCATAAATAGCTATAAAGTAACCTAGAAACAATGAATGTTCTGAGCCTGAGAACTTTCACATGTTACCACTGTGTAAGCCAGAGTATGTACTTGGACAAACAGCCAAAGGGTTAAAGTCCACTGACAGTAGCAAAAAGCTGGGCAGACAAAAAAATTGACACAAAACAAGGACTTTACTCAAGTATTAGAACCACCAAAATTGGCTGCCAAAATAACATCATTTTTACCATCAGCCCTTGACATGTTTTTATGCTGTCAATTCCAGTGCCCTTCCCATCTCCTCATGTACAAGAAAAGAGGACCCTCTCTGTAGCTAAGATCTAGGTCTAGTGATAGATGGCATTGGGCATACAGCCATAAATTTCCTTCTCTCCAAGAAAACAAAGGCCATCTTCTAAATTCCATATGTTATACCAGCCTACACAACTTAGACATGCATTTAATCAAATACTAGCATTGTGCCAGAGTTCCTGTTTCAGTTTAAAGAGAGAGAAAAATTTAGGCCTAGTATTTACAAGTTTCAGACCATGATACTTCCATTCTTGCTGCCCTCCAGCAAAATATTGACATTTCATGTGTGCACAATTTAGGCTTTCTCTAAGCAGTGACTGTGTCAAATAATGGCAGCAGACAATCTGCCACTGAACTATTTTTTTATGCAAGAAAATGCACATTTGCTTTTGCCTTTCCCCTCACAAAAAATCCAAATGAAGAGGGAGTAATGTATATCACTGATAAGCTGACAGGGAAATGAGAAACTTGCTCAGCTTTTCCCTCTCTATTACCCAATATTGGTGTTGACACCAGCACTAGTGGACATGAGAGAAATCAATGACCATCCACACAATACAGCCAAGGGTACACCCCTAAAAAAAACATGGCAAAATAAAGTAAAAAAGAAACTAAGTATGATGAGTGAGTGCATAAAAGAATAAGCAAGACAGCAGGAATCATATCTTCCAGTCAATCAGATGAGGATATGCTTTCTGTTGCAAAAGTGTGGATGAACAAAATTTTGCCAAAATTTAGTTTCATGGAATCTTATATTTTGGCTCTTTAACCCTGACAGTCCTGGCAGGACTCAAGAGTCCTGCATTTTCTTTGCATATATTATAGGGCTACATAGGAATACACAACCTTGAGACCATGGCAGGATTCTGAGGCCCTGTTTATGGTAGTTCACCACATGTTAAGATGACAGCAGTCTAGTGTAAAAAGGACTGCTGTATTTCCTCTAGCACTTTAAAAATGGCATCATCATCCAATATTTAAATTGAAAGAGGCCAAAAGTTGTGGTGGCTCTCACCCCTAATGCAAAAGGCCTACTATACTATGCTGTTCTAGGGCATAGGCCAGGCCATCCATGGCCTCAGTGCCAGGTCTGCAAGGCTCTGCCAATCTGGGCCATAGACAAAAACATAAAAATAGCAAGGCTGAAAGCAATGGTGAATGGCTGTCACTCATCCATGGCCTAACATGTGAGGCCTACAAGGCTATGCCATTTTAAGCCATTGGCTATGCCAACATTTTTTTCTTCAAATTTTTGCCCATTAGACGGCCAGTGTAGCAGCCACTAGTTACATTTACTTCAGCTAAGACATTTCTTTCCCAGCCAATTTTATTTATGCAACTTAGATACTGGAAAGTAGTATAGAAATACTGGGAAACATAACATAAAATAGGAATGAGTATTAACTGAACTAATTACAAAACATGATTTCAATTATTTATTTAATATCTTTAAATAATTGAAATAAATATTTAATTTTGAGGAAACCATTTTAAAAACACGTTCATGTTACATAAGCCTAGTTGAAGCCCAAAAAGTAAATGAACATTTTTTCCATACCTAGAACATAATTCATGACTGAAAGGGTTAAAAGTTTTGCAAGCTTTTAATCTTACAATCTGGACCATCCCACCAATGGTGATGGAGAACAAAAAAACTTCATATCAATTTAAGTTTGTGATTCTTTGTGCATTATGAAGTTAAAATTAAAATGTGTAAAACACTGTTGCTGCAGAGTACATAGCTATAAATGTAGTTGAAGGTAACAATTCAAGGGTCATGCAACGCCTGCTCAATGCATTGCATTGCATATGTGCATTATCATGCACATACATACAATGAACTATTACAAGATGGTAAGTGGCTATCATTGCTACTTGAGTGAGTATAGAATAGAATGTGGAGATAAGTGGGCTCAGTTATCAGCTCAAAAGGCAACAATTACCACAAAGCAAAAACAAAAGTTGACAATCAATCCCCATCTATTTTTAACTCATCCACTCAACTTCAAACAAGTCAAAAAAATTCAAGACATAAAGATACAGGATGAAGTGGATACAAGGGGGGTTTGAAAACTGCTCTCAATTACCCTTTCAAATTAAAGATGATTCCATAACAGAGCTGACCCTTCTCTGGCATCCAGCAAGCTTCTCCAGCAACTTCTGAGTTTCTTGTATTTCCTGTTCTGTGTTTCCAGTAACAGTTTCAGGTTCTGAAACTTCTGGGTCAGGCTCAATTTGACTGTTGAGGGTCTCCTGGATGAGCTCCAACAATCTACTCTGACAGCTCTCATACACAGGAGGTCCCACTTGAGCACATAAGGCACCCAATAATTTCCCTGATTTATGAAAGAGCATCCAAAATGGCTCTGGTATACACAACATGAAACAATAACTAGCAAATAATTCTTGAGAATTGCTCACCTGCTGACAAACGAACCCTGATCTCAGGATGAACTAAGAGGTCAAGAGCCACTTCCCTGACATCTTTGCTCTGAGACTGTATATCAAATGTATTCAGGGTTCCCTTGTTTGATATAATGGTCCGAATGCCCATCAAGGCACCATGCTTGCTCTCCCAAGGTGCATCTGGACTTTGGGCCAGGTCAATGAATGAGTTGTACAAAGCCAAAATTTCTTTTTCATTGCCTGTACTAATGAAATGCTGTAAAGACGCAAGACTCTCATCACAATCCAGTTTCTGAGCACTGCAGAGGTTGGTGGAGATTGCTTCCTTTGCATTTATAGTTGCCTCATTGGATTGTGCCATCACATTCACTTAATTAACTTCTTACTGAAAGAAAGCAGAGCATATTCATTAATCCAATAGAGATATTTACAAAGCACTGTAATGAAATAAAGGATATGAATAATGGGTAAAATTTTGTCAAGCCTTTATAGGGAATGCTTCCCAGCATTGCTCATACGAACAAAGCCATGGCAAAAGTAGCACCAATTAACCCTCTCCAGCTCAATGATGCCTCATGGCATCATGGAAAAATCTTACATATCAAGGCATTGCTTTAAGCCTTTGACTCCATTTGGCATTATAGATCATTATTCTAGTACTTTTAAAAGTCAGTACTTTTATTCTATTATACTATTCTAGTACTTTTATTATTTTAATTGCTTGTCATACTTCTGTGATGTGTAAATTTTTTGGGAGAGTAGAAATTCAATTGGGCTGGAAAGGGTTAAGTGGAAATGAAATAAGTAAGGTGAATTGCTGATATATGAAAGTCCATTTTTTAAGAAATAGTGTAGTCATAGATTTTTTTTCACTCTGGTGATTACATCTAATGGGCTGAAAGCAAATATGAATGCAAGTAATTTCAGCTTGGAGATCCTCAAATATTCAAAAACAGAACGAAAACAAATATGTATATGGTTTTTATTTTTCTTTAGGTTCACATCTCGTAATCATTTTTTAATCTGACAGATCAAAATGTAGAAAAGAAAGGTATATGAGAATTTCTCAGAAATTATGCCAAGGTATAGCATGAATGCCAACCAACATCTCTTCCAGATTCCAAAATCTCATCAGGATGCATCATGGGTCTCTGTATTTTCTTCTAATTCAGTTCATCCATTGAAGGTCTTATGAAAATATCAAGGAATAGATTAGAAAGTGGGATGAGGAAATGAATTGCATCAATGTGCCATTAATATTATTCCACCCCAAAGAGAATGAATGATACTCCACTCACAACAAACCAACTCAGGGTTATCTATAAGTTAGGGAAATGCAAATACCAGAAGAATACACAAAGATTGGATGGAAACACTAGACAAGTAACTAATCTGTCAAACACCTACTTACATTTCTGAAAATGACAATTTTGCTTGGTTTTAACATGCTTGCTAATGCAAGTCAAATATGGATAGCATAAGATTCTTCAAGACAGATCAGTATTGCAAGTGTGTGATATTCATTTTGTGAGTAATAACTCCTTGCTAAGCATTTTGACAGGCTTCATACTAAATTCATGGATTGTGGAGATGGTCAGGACATATATCACATGGTCTTGACATCTGGTTCACAGAAACAGATTTATGATGTCAGGAGCTACATGAAGATAAATGTATATGAAATGAAGATATAATTTTCTGATGACAATGGATGATAAAAAAAAAAATATTTTTACCAGTGTGTGAAGGATAGAGGGGAGGCCTGGCCTAGTCTCCCCCTTAGAATAGCTAGTGCCAAGTGACCATTTTTTCAAAAATTTTCAAACATTTTTTAGTTTTCATTTAATAAATTACCATTAGAATTTCAATATTCTCCTGTTATGACATAAAACTCTTAGTGTTATGTCACAGCTGCAATTTCCCCAATATATTCAGTTGTTGTCTACATATGTTGATCAGCAGTGTATATGTTGTATAATCACAAGCTGATGTCACAAAATGCTAGAGGAGTTTATTCCTGTTCCCAATAAAAGCTTTCCTATTTATTATGGTAAGCAGGGAAAAGTAGAACTACAGCAAATGTGTAATGAGTTCTCAATATCATCAACCTCCCAAGGGAGGAAAGTTTTCTGCATGGTAGTTGTGCAATTCCCCAGTCCCACAGCCTCCAAATAGATTTATCAAACATGGCCTGGAAGCATGTCTTTGAAGTCAGTCTTCTCTGAAGAAAACAACTGCTCTCAGGGATCTATTTAATGGGTGTCTCCCTGATAAGATTTCCTTAGATTTATCACAGATATATGGTAGTCTGGAAAGGCATCATGAAAAGAAATGAAGCTCCTCCAGAACTACATGTCCAATCATCTCAACAATCAGTCATCTGTCAGCCCAATGTGAAACATACAAAACAAAGAAGAAAAAGAAAAAATAGTGGTCAAATCTAATTGGGTCATACATAGGATCTCTAGGAGTTGTCACTTGAATGCTCCTCCATTCCCTCACTCTCAGTGACAAGGGCTCTCTCAAGGATAACTCGCCCCTCTTTGTACCTCTGGGTTTCTTCAGTTGCAAACTCATAAATCCAACCCAATTTTGCATTACAGTTTTTGCAAGACACATCTCGAACCATGTGGCGGCCAGTCAGCATTACTCTGTCTTGAACTTCACTACATGGCAAATTCAAAATCAACTCAGGTCAAAAACGTGATACATGACAATTCACACTATACCCCTTTATATTGCACTTACCTATACTTCAAGTTGACAACCTTGTTGAAAAGGAAGGCTCGACCAGTGGCACCTGTGAATCGTGTGCTAATAAGTTCACTTCGGTTTGTAAGCACTGTTTCACATGTTGCACATGAGAAGAGACGAGCACCTCCAATGTGTTCAAGGAATATGCGACCCATTTTGTCGAGTTCAAACTCTTGCGTGTCAGGTGCACAATATGAGGAGCCAGTGACACTGAAGGTTCTGGGCAAAGGAAATACTTGAGAAACACACCAGGACATTGCCTTTCACTATTCAAAAGGTTCTATCATGAAGCTTATAACAATTGCTGAGGTACCAAAATAACAGCTTCAGTTGGCTCAAGGCTTTTTGCCATGGCAAAGCCAGTGCACTGGCTTACCAGCCAACATGTTCTACCAATCACAAAAGACACTCAAAACCAACTCAGTTGTACATGAAGCAGCACAAAATGAGTGATGGGGTTTTACAGCAGAATGGGTGTGAAATGGTTTCACAAATTAAGTAGGCCACTCACCAAGTAGGCGACTCATCAATACTTTTTTTTAATAACTTATGGACGGAATGGACAAAAATGACAAGATGAAGCTTTTGAAATCAATACAATACAACTTCAAACATTGAGACAAGAGAGATCAATGAAATGCTGAGACTAGATATCTGCACGTGAATGATACTCAAGTGCATAACAGGGTTGACTAGAAATGATGAAAGAAGATTCAATTCAAGTGTTTCAATTATCAATGACCAGGTGATCTGGCTCCTCAATGACCTTGTCTTGACCAAAGGTCTGGAAATGCTGAGATTGCTTGAAAGCAGAATAAAGGGTGAACAGCACATGCAGGGACTGAACCCGAGACTTGTACACGGGGATATCCAATAAAGCTGTCAAAGAAAGCATCCCATCAATACCATAGAAAGAATGAGTCCTAAAAAAGATGTACTAAGGGTTTCCACAGACAATATGTCATATTTTCCAAACATCCCAGAACCAACTTCAGTGCTTTTCAAAGCATAATTGAAACCATCAAAAACACTTTAAAAGGAATACCATAGGGGCGAGGAAAATATTAATAATTCCTCCAGTCCATGAGTCAAGGCACTTTATCTTGCAAATTGCTAAGAGAAAATTTAAAAGGTATCATATTAACTTATTTTTCTTGACTTGGAAGCAAATTTTGAGAATTCTTAATTTTTCCCAAAAAATTTGTTTATTTATTTATTTACTTGTATAAATTTATTGCAGACATCAATATTTCCTAGTTTTCCCAGATATTCCATGTCACCAGAAACCCTAGTACTGACTGAAATCCAAGGCAAGAACTCACAGCAAACAATGTCTGTGTATTCTGAGAGACTGCAATCCAGATCAGCTGTAGGAAGACCTACTTCTCGCAGCAAATCTTCAAATTCTCCAGGCCATTCTTGCATCAGGGAATCAATATCTGGCATTTGCCTTCAAATATCACATATCACTTCAGTGAATAAAATATTTTCATACATTGAATATGTATCTTTTTAGGAAATAAAAAATATTGCCAGTAATTATGCTTTTGGTGTCTACAGTATTTTCAGCTTGACTTCTCCATCTACCTTTCTTTACTAATGCCGTTTTTAACAGTACTCAAGAGACATCTAGTCACCAATGCTAGCAGAGGCATACATTTGATGAGGTATGGGCATAAAGTAACATTTCTTCCCAAGTGAGTGAACTACCACTTCACAACTTGAAAGTAAGCCAATAGAAAATACTGAAGTATGGGTAAACAAAAAAAATGGAAGAAAAGTCAATCTAAAAACACAAGTAATATAACATTATATGAAAAGGGTAGTTTGTGAAAATCACCCATACTTGGTATAGTGGACAGTGGGTGGAGGCTTGGAGCGGTGAAGGTCACTTATATCCTTTATCCATTTTTCAATAGCTTTGGGGTTCTTCTCAGCATCATCAATTGACTTCACTGCCTGCATTCATTCAGAATTAATATTGATCAGAATTCATGCCTGGCCTTACATGGGTTCATGAATACCAATGTACTTATTCCTTCCTAAAGGCTGGTGCAAACTAAAATATTTGGGTTTGACTCAGATTCATAATTTATTCATTTTCCCAGGTAGAGCTTGAATTTGACCAATTACTTAAGTCCACAATATCATGAGAGTGCATTTCATTTATCTAGCTAAACTGCAACACACATTCATATCCATGCATTGAAATGAAAAAAAAGCAAAAACTTTTAATGATCAAGTCATGAGTTCATGCTTGCTCAGGCCTGAAGAATGATTCTTAGTATCTTCAGGGTCAATAACTTCAAATGTTCAAGGGTTCATTGATTAACAAATTGTAATGCCTTCAGATCTTGGTTCAGTTCTTCCCATCTTACACTTCAATTAGCTGATTCAAGAGAAAAAAGCAATCGTGTTGATAATTTAGCATGTAAACATACTCAGTAACCAAGAGAAACCAATAGGAGTGCTCAAATGGTGGAGATGAAAAATCTCACCTTAAAGAGAGAACAAAGACAATAAGGATCAATTAATAAAATAGTTTCATTCTTGAAACATACGATAGCTTTGGCTGAGCTCTGCTTGGCAACAGCTCTGAGAGTGAGATCAAGGACAGTAGGGTCACTCTGCTTCAAAGCAGGCTCATCCAGGATTGTCAAGCCCAAGGTGTCAGCAGCACCATCAGGTCGAGGAATTTTGATGAAAGCATCTATATCACCAACAGCAGGAATGTAGTCTGGAATGAATGGCTTCAGGCGATGCTCCAAATCAATCGTCTGTGGTGTATATCTGATTGCAAATAAAGAGGATGTCAGCTAATATGCTGCTGAAGTTGCAGCATCATTCCAATAGATTCTTGGTTGTTGGACTTACCTTGTGATTAGTTGGAACAATTCTTTAATCTCTCCAGACACTGCCAAATGTTCATAATCAGCAGGATTATAAGCCCTGGAGTGCAAAGTGAAAAAAACCACTGCCATTCAATGAAGATCATTCCACCTTAGAGCCTAATTAACATTGCCACAGGCCTATTAACTCACCCCAAATCACCAGCACCTTTAACATCATCATCATCACTGTCTTCTCCACTGTCATCAGCTATAGGCCTAACCTTAAGAGGAATGTCGATTTCTTCGTCCTTGGCACCCTCCTGATCTTCTTGGTGCACTTGAACATCCACTCCTTCATATGGCTCTTGTAAATAGGCCTACAATGTCATCCAAGAAAGACTTGTGATGTAAGCAAGACAGACTAGACTCTTGAATACATTTAAAGGAAATAATAATGCATAAAGATGATTATGACTTATGTTAAATGAGGTTGAACAGTCAAAGAATACAAGGTTAACAAACATTTTTGGATTAAACACATTTTTGCCTTTTACTTGTGTGCAAGTTGGGTGCAGTACTGTGATACCAATACAGTATTGCCCATCCTTGATTGGCACATCTATAGGATTTAAAATGTTGAGTACCTTGTCCCATTTGCAAAGAATGATCCATATGTTAATTTTTTTAATATCCCAAAATAATAATAATAAAATATATAGAAAAACTTATAAAATTTTTTTAAGTGAAAATTTTCTGGGTTACAGTACATAAAAATAAACAGCTTCTGAAGTCTAAGAGGCCTAATCCATGACAGGATTATGAATTGATTACCTAGCTAGGTTAGTCAGAATGCAATTCATTTCATGCTATGCTCATGTTAAGCAATGCTAAACATCTGTTGCAGCTATGCTCGGTAGCATCTTTTACTAGTGAGTCTGTTCGCCATGGTGGCACCTTCGGCACTCCATTACCTTGGATAGTCATTTATTCATTCATTTTTTGCGAAATGGGAAACACATAAAGTACGTCCCCATTGAAATACTTGACTTTTGGGGTCGAAAATCTTGATTTTTATCGAAATCATTACTTCTATGATTCTATGTGTTCCTAACTTTAAATCTTTTTTTGTGTCCTTTTTTGTAATATATGTTGAAATACTTCCCTCCAATAATCTATGCTAATGGGACATATTTCAAAAGTAGGATTTTTCCTGTACTCAGCCATTAAACAGGTACTTCTGAGGGGAGTTTATATTTTCTGTCTCTGTTTCGTTGGATCAAATAACATTCAGGAAAATGGGACTGAAAAAAGTGCCCTGATGGGTCTTAACAATTTCTTTTTTCCTTTTGAAATGTAGACTCAGGGAACTGCATGCCACCTAGTCTCAGCCTTAAACGTTTCCCCTTTTTGTTGGTGGGAAAAATGTATTTGGAAAAGCAACCCACCCAAAAGCTGTGCTCTGAGGAGATGCACAAAAAATTTGAATTTTTGCTAAAATCAACATCACGTCCATTATGCGTGAGCCAGCTACTTTTCTATTTCTGCCTGATTCGGTAGGATATGAACAATTATTTAAAAACGTTACGTCCTCAAGAAATATGAACCCCAAAACTATTTTGGAAATTTGACGTTTGACATTTGAGCTCAGTGTGTCAACGGTCACGTTCTTCCAAGTTTCAGCTTTCCATATGTCTCCGTTTGAAGCAAAGAGAACTATTTAAAAATATGTTCTCCGAAACTCAACATGCGAATAGCTACTTATGTTAGTCAGTCAGCTACTCACGATCGTCTATACATAATAAAAGTACAGTGAAAACTCGTTAACTCGAACTTTTAGGGACCGGGCAAATCGTTTCGAGTTATCCGAAGTTCGAGTTATCAGGAATCGCCCCCCCCCCCAAAAAAAAAAAAAACAAACTCACGGTGAGGAGCATAACCAGAGGGCGATTATTCCGCCATAAAAAATCCGATTTCACGACATTCCCATTATAATTAGCTTTTATTCATCTCGAGTGAAACTTTTAAACTCCATATGTAAAATTAATTTATTGCAACGCCTTTCATCTGGGGCTCTTTCGGTTTTTATCCATTTCTGACATGTAATCAATGATCTTCATTTGCTTTGTAAAAGAACTTGGAATAGAGAAGTGAAAGTCCTCCAATTTCCCTACTGCCTCGAACAAGTCGATTGGCACTGTGTGAACTCCACGTTCCCATGCTTGGCTGTCTTCATTTTCCTGCAACTTGCTGTAAATAGGCGCTTCTCGTGTGCACTCAAAACCTTATATTTTCTGCGCATAATGGTAGAGGGAGGAATCCCGAAATTCTCTGCGATGCCTTTCTTCTTCAAATGGCCTTCTTCGCCAGTCCGAATAAAGTGTACATTCTCTTCGAGCGTCAGAGCCTTCAATTTCCTCTCGAGTGGGCTCACTCCACACAAATGGCGTAAAGGAAGTAGAATATGACTAGAATGGCTCGGAGTGAGAGCGATAGACAGAGAGAATTTTTAAGGCTGCTTTTTTATAGCCGAAGCTTCTCGGTTTTAATCCTCGCCACAGGCGTCTGTGTGGGAGGAGGGAGAAGCAAAAAAAAAAACAAAAGAACATCCTCCCGAACGTGTTTCTTGTCATTCCTCCTATTCAAAAGCATTTTTTAAAAAGTCCCAAGAGAAAAATTTTTCCCCCCTTCTCACCCTGAATTCGAGTTAACCGTGAGAAATTCGTTATCGGGAGTGAAAATTTCATTCGAGATATCCGGAAATTCGAGATAAGCGAATTCGAGTTAAACGGAGCATTTAACATGGTGTCCTACGGGGTTCCGGCGGGACCAAGCTTTGAACTTCGAGATAAGCAGAATTTCGACTTATCAGGATTCGAGTTAACGAGTTTTCACTGTATAATTTTTCCTTACGCAGCTATCCATCAGATACTTATTTGCCAAGATTTTTAACTTTCATCCGCCCTGTTTTGCTGGATCAGAAAATTCGTGAAAATACGCCTTTTGCAAAATATGTGCCCTGAGCCGTTTTAACCGAAACGTACCTTTTTCTTCAGAAATCCATCCTCAGTGAACTACATGCCCACAACATTTCAATATTATAGGTTTGCCCTTTTCGCTGGTGAAAAAACATGTTTGGAAAAGCCGAAACACCCAAAAGCTATGCCGGGAGGGGATGCACCATGAAAGCTGAATAGTCCCTCAGCTCAGTAATATCATGTCACTTATATGTGAGCCAAGTTTCACCTTTCCATTTCTGTCCAATTCACCACTTTTTTTTTTCAAAACATTGCACCTTAAAAAAATTCCCCAGGGGATTTATCAAGACTTAACATTTTCTTGAACTCCTTGTCTCAGTAGTCACATTTATGCGAATTTTCAGCTTTCCATGTTCATCAGTTCAACTGATGCAAAAAAATTAGTTGAAAACATCTCCCTTTGAAATTTGTGCCCCCAGGGCATTTACTTCTAAAGTCTGAAGTTTTCTGCAGCATGCCAATAGGTAGTTATGTACCAAGTTTAATCTTTCCACGCTAGCTTAATACGCCAGGACAAAAAAAAATATTGAAAACGTCGGCTCACAAAAATATGCCCCCAGGGCATGTATCTAAAATTTTACATTTTTCCTGAACTCGTCGTCTCGGTAGGCACGTCAATGCCAAGTTTCAGCTTTCCATGTCCCTCCGTTTTACTCAAGCAAAAATGTTATGGAGGGGGAATGAGTAACGGGACATGGAAGGCAAAAAAAGCTAAAAGAAAGCCAAGGAATAGCCGGGAATAGGACTCGGACCTTCTGATTGCTATTTAGATATGCTACTACCACACCACTGAACCCAGCACATCCTGTCGGCTCTCTGAATGCCATCCTCATCTGTCATGAAATATATTCACAAAAAACGTTTCTCCCTAAAATTTTTACCCCCAGGGCATCTGAAGTCTGATTTTTTCTGAACTCTACATCCCAAAAGGTACATGTTTACCAAGTTTCAGATTTCTAACCCTTCTAGAACATGGTTAGAATTAGCATCAGTCAGTCAGTCAGTCACGATCGTCTATATATATTAGATGGGGAGGAAGGAACCATTCCCCTGACCAGCCCTTGAAAGTGTCAAGCACACCCTCTGAGGGATATTTATCACTCGAGATTATTCCCAGCAGTCTGCCGAGAATATCTGCTATCCTTTTCCTTGGATTATAATCCAAAATACACCACTGGCTACACCTATGTTTCAGACCATCTCTGGAAAGGGAATCTCAACTTACACCAGCCAAGCAACTTTTTTTCACCTTCAGCTGAAGACACAGCAGCACCTGCATGGTTAGGCCTATGCAAATGTGCATCTCAGGTATTATGATGGGTGATACAAACTCGCAGTAGGGGGAGGGAGTGTATCTTTGTTTACTCTTCACTTGCTACACCACAAAACATACTTGCTGTTGGCAAGGGTGGGAATTTTACAGGTCTGTTTTGAATTATATCTAATTTACATTTGAATCCAACACTTCTTTTTTTTGGTAACCAATGACTTCTGTCTGGATTGTCACTTCACATGCAAGGGTGTTGGACTCAACTGAGACGGTGTTGAACGTCAAGTGAAATAAATTTTAAAAACTACGTTGACTCACAATATGACTGTCTGTGTCCAAATTTTCCTCTGCAGCCAAGACGGCTGCAACACTTATTCCTCCCTCTCCAATCGGCGCCTCATCGTTGGAAACCTCATCGTCTTCCTCCCGAAACTGGATCACATCGTCATCACCCGTCATTCGTTCCCTCGATGGGGAGAATATTTCATGGCGCATTGGATAGGATCTACTCCCGCTCGGGCCTTCCCCTGGATCATCTACCCTGTCACTCCCATTCAGTTGCAACAAGTCTCTCATTGACGCGGTAGTCAAGTGGAATGCACAGATGAAGAGCAGACACGAGATGCGGAACAAGTGAAGAGTTATGCTCCTTCCTCAGAACAATTTTCTTGCACCCACAAATGCGTTTGCACCTTGAAGGAAGTGAACAAGCATGGCACAGCACCACACAACACACCACACAATTTTAGATAGGACCAGGAGTCACCTTTATGACTAACAGTGCCGTGAAAGCGAGAGGAAAGGCAAGCTTGGAGTAAAATATTTATTATTAAGGAATTTTGTTTTGCTTTAAATTTACAAATGTGGACAGAAAAAGAAAAGGAAAGGATGCAAGCAAACTGAAACTCTGGCAAGCCTACGAGCAGGACGTGACGTTCTTCTTCATACATATGATGGTGACCTGCATGAACCACGTGGGAAAGGTTGCTGAGATATCCAAGCACCGCCAAGGAAGCGGTTTGGTGAATTATTGACGTTAGGCAAGATTCCTCTTGCCTTTAAGCCGAGAAAAGGATGAGCTTCTTGCAAGATGCCGTTATCATGTTCTCATCCCAGGTGAGATGCGATTGATTGTTCCATCCATGTTAGGACAGGCTCTACATCAGTGGTTCTTAACCTTTTTTTGGTGCGACCCAAATTCTGGTCGCGGGGCTAGCTCGGCAACCATGCCCTCAAGCAGTTCACTTGTGATAAGTGATATGTGAAAGTTCGGACAGTCACTGGAGACCCTTGGCGACCCAATTTTGGGTCGCGACCCAGGGGTTAAGAACCACTGCTCTACATGGTAGGCTTAAGCTGCGTTTGCAACTACTGGCGGACGTCGCGAAACATTTTAATTCTACATGAATTAGATTGTTAAATCAAAGTATAATACTTGGAAAAATCTGATGAAAGTCTCCAAAAGACCAAGATATGGTGTGAAAAGTTGTTACCATATTCATGACAGACTTTGAATGTATGTTTACTCATTTATAAAATTATGTCTTGAAAATATTTTCATGGTAAAATTTAACATGCAATATCTCAATTTTCCTGCTGTTCTCCTTTCTTCATATAAAGACAAGAATATAAGCTTTCACTTTTGTGTGGGAATTAGGGTGTAGTATGCATTGTAAGCACAATTTCATGTTTTTGTTTCATGACTTCCAAGATCATGTGGTTTCTGCATATCTGACATCTTTGTTTCTACAATGCAACTACAATCTAAAAGCTTTGGCTCCAAGGAGATCATTTTTATCATCCTTCAGCCAGTACTTTAGAGCACTCTTGTTATTTCAGTGTTTCTTGTTGCAGGTAATTTTTTTTGCTGGTGGCTGGGTATTCTTTATGAAGCAATTATTCAAGAACTATGAGGTCCATCACATCATGGTGCAGTTAATTTTCTCCATAACATTTGCTTTATCATGCACCATGTTTGAGCTCATCATCTTCGAGATCCTTGGCACAATGGAATCAAGGTAATTTGAGCCTATGGAAGTCCAGCATCATGCAAGAGTTGAAATATTTACTCTTTAAGTCAATGAAAGCTTCTGAACTACCTTTAAATTATGTGTCACTATTGGATGGATCTCCTGATTGCAGTTCCCGATACTTCCACTGGCGCCTTGGGCTATATTCAATGTTGTTCATGGTCATCATTGTTCTTCCCTTCTATATTGCTTATTTCGTCTTGAGCAGTCTCAGATTTGGTGAGTCAGATTTATGCAAGAGACATGGTAAATTATATTATATTCAAGCTAAAGAGGTGATTAAATTTCTTTTCATTTTGACTTCATTTACATATGTAAGAAAATTAACAATAAGCAGAATGCTTAACCCTTTCATTTCTCTTTCCTCTTTGTACTTAATTGAGGTACAACAAGGAATAACACTCATGAAATACAGTCAACATTTATGGTACATGATTTCTAAAATATCTCATAGCCTACCTCAGACTCAGATACCAATTTGAGATCTTTCATACCAGTTGGATGACCTTTTATGGAAAAAAATACTAAAATAATAAAAAATCTACATATATTAGGTAATTCTATTCAAATACTCAGGTTTAATTCTTCATATTCTCTTTATTTCCATGTCCAGTCCTCTTCAGAAGCAGCAACAAATTCAAACAAAGAAATTCACAATAAAATGCATTAAAATCTGTTTCAGTACTGTACAAATATATGCATTTTATCATGCCAAAGGCAAAAGCAGATAGCTAAAGGTGAACCAATGACCAATCTTATCCTCATACCTCAAGTTATGATGTTTGTTTGCATTAATACCATTTCTCTCAAAGGCCTAGTTGGGTTGGGTTTGCAGATTGGTGTCCTTGTCTGAGACTTGTGATATGCCTGGATTAAAAAAAAAAGTTCAAGTTAACCTGATATTTCTGATGGCAGTGCAGAGAAAGCAGATTGGACCACTGACACTTGTCTCCTGGGTGGCTTTCCTATACTTCTTCTGGAAAATTGGGGATCCTTTCCCCATTTCCAGTCCTAAGCATGGGGTGCTATCCATAGAACAGTTCATCAGTCGCATAGGAGTCATAGGTGTCACGGTCATGGCCTTCTTGTCTGGCTTTGGTGCTGTCAATTATCCTTACACTTCAATGACCTACTTCATGAGGTATGCCTAGAATATTGGATAATCTGAATTTTTTCTATAAGGGTTATACTTTAAGATCTACAGAAAATTTATTATTTTCAGGCCAGTGACAATCAATGACATCATTGCCATTGAGAAGAAACTGCTACACACATATGATATGATTTTGATTAAAAAGAAGAGAATTGCCATGGCCCAACGAGATCAGCTTCTGCGTTCAAAATCAGGATCAAGTGGATCTGGTATTTGGGGAATGCTGCGGAGTGTTGCCACAAACCCACTAGTTTCCTCAGGTGAGAACATATCTCAACTTAAGGAAGAAGTGGCTGCTCTTGAAGACTTCAGTCGTCAGCTGCTCCTTGAGGCTGTGGACATGCACAGCATGAGGGAACGCATTGAGTGGGCCAAGACCTTTCGTGGAAAGTATTTCAATGTCATGGGATATTTCTTCTCTCTCTACTGTCTATGGAAGATATTTATTGTGAGTATCTCTTTTTGCTAACTGAGGCACTCTTTCATCTTGACTGACTTTGACAATATGCATCTCCATTTCTCTTCCAGTGCACAATCAATATCTTATTTGGGAGGGTGGCACGAGTTGACCCTGTAACTCGAGGCATTGAGATAGCTGTCCATTACATGGGTTTTCAAATTGATGTGAAGTTCTGGAGCCAGCAGATCTCATTCTTCCTTGTTGGCTGCATTGTTGTAACTTCTATTCGGGGCCTCCTCATCACTCTTACAAAGGTACATTCCATATATCAGTTTTACCAAATGAAATCATGAAAACTTGCATATACTTTAATTTTTTTCCTCATCCATTTCCAGTTTTTTTATGCCATCTCCAGCAGCAAGTCTTCAAATGTGATTGTGCTAGCCCTGGCACAGATCATGGGCATGTACTTTGTGTCATCAGTGGTATTGATGCGTATGAACATGCCAGCTGAATACCGAACTATCATCACACAGGTCTTGGGGGAACTACAATTCAACTTCTATCATCGATGGTTTGATGTAATCTTTCTCATAAGTGCCCTTTCCAGCATTGGATTTCTTTATCTAGCCCATAAACAAGTCCCTGGAGACAGGGAGATATCATGACCAGATGGGAATGAATCAATCAGTTTCCATGTCTGTGATGTCCTGTGATTACATTGTCCTAAGTTCATCTCATTCAGGGTATTCTATGATCTTGCTATGATTAAGAGTACACATCTATTAGACTACTATGCAAGAAGTTGGGATAGCAACAACTGAGTGCATTTGGACATCAGGAAACATTACATAAATATTCAATTAACAGAGATCTTACTCATGAGGTGAATGGAGTTTCCAGGATATTGCTTTACACTTAAAATGCATCATGTATGCATGCTTCTTTGCCCATAAGGTATTTAAAGGGGACAGCATGGTTTTAAAGTGGTACATTTATGTTCACATGTACCAAGCTCCTTCTTAGGTCTTGGTCCCATTAAATCTGGTACTGACCAACATATCCATAATGTCTTCTGCTATACATTGACGCCATTTGTGTTGCATGCTCCTTCATGCAAGTGCAATGACCATGCTGATCACAATGTATACATGCATAGTTTTTGTCAAGTACATTCAGATGCTATCAAAAACATAAGCTGTTCCCTTTTCATGTAGTCACTTTGCACATCTAGAATGAGAAAGACATGAATGTTGATGTAGAATTAGTTTTGCCTCAGGCAACATGAAGAACTATAAAAAATATTCCTAACATATACTATAGATTTGCTGATAATAAAAGAAAAAATACCACTTCCTGTTAGGAAGATGAAAAAGAATGAACAGCTGAGACTTTGTATTCTCAATGTTTAGATCTTGCAAAGATAAAGAAAGATTTAAATTACAATTGGGCAAAGTATGTATTTAAATTATTCAAAATCTCATTATCTTGAACTCTAAGCTTCTTTGAGTAACAGAAGGAGCACATTGATCTTGACATCCTAATGTACCTCTGAACATTGCAAGCAATTTTTGATTGACTTTCTGGGCAGTGGCAGCTCCGGGGGGGGGGGGGGACCCCCCCCCCTATGGCCATGTTAGCATTCTATTTATTTTTTATTTTTTTATAGCTTATACATTAATTATTATTAGGGCCAGTGAAACAGATATTCAAGTTTTTACCCCAGATGAGAAATGAAAAAGGCAATAGGATAGGGAATGGTGGAAGGCAGGGAGTAGTAGTTGGAACTAAGGAACTCCCCCCCCCCCCCCTATGAAAAATTTCTACATCTGCCACTGCATGTGGGCATTAGAGAGATAGTTGGAAATAGCAGTTTATGTAGTGATATAAGAACCATATGCAAAAGGGAGCAACTACCCTAATTTCTAAGTAGCCCATTCTTGCTCTTGCCAAGTGCACACTGTCAAGTCTGACCTGGGAAGTTACTACCTTGAGGACTACCTTAGTATGTACTCTTTGCATAGGGAACTACCAACCCATATAGTATTCCAAAAAGGCTTCATCATCTTTCTAGAATACCATCCTTGCTGCATTTCTTTTCATTCCAGCTTTCAAGAACATAGAAAAAATTATCTTTATTTCTCTTTGAAGTTGCAAAACCATGACACATGTTCTGAAATTTCTTTGAGTAGATGAGAATGACATTGGGAATTTATGATCATGTAGATGTAGTTATGAACACATTGTTTGTCCTGAAAAATAGAGTGTGATTTTTTTTAGCCTGTCACATCTCTAGAGAAATTTTATTTATGTTTAGGAGACCCTATACCTTATATCTTCTATGGTATGGATAGCAAGCATCAATGAGTTCAAGGTGTTTCATCCTTCCATCTGCTCATCTAAGTAAAAAAAAAAAATTGCTGCTGCTATCCTGTGTATCTCATACCTATGGAATCATGGGTTATTATATACAAGTGATGAATTTGAAAGTAAATATTGAACAGTGACCTTTTTCTGAAAGGACATTGATTCATATATTTTTGTTTGGCATCATAATTGGAAATGCTTTGTGCCATGACTATGTGAATTTCATGAGCCAGAACTTAACCCAGATATGCCTGGAGTCCTATATGTAGGATGGCTTGCCTTCATGTAGAACATGTGTCCTCCATATAGAATGACAGGCATATCTGGGTGAAAGACACTGGTTTTCCCCCAATTTTCACATCATGACTAACATCTGTGGCACTACCAAATTTCAAAGGGTCCTGCAAGAGGCAAAGGCTGCCACAATAAGTAAAAACTAGGTTGAAAAACACTTGAAAAGGGTGGCATTATTGTACTCCAGTCTGAACAGTTTTGTCACCACCATCAGACATTATCTGCCCACTGCTCGATGTAGGCCTCCCTGAGGGTCATTTCATCCTGCTCTGAGCCAAACCAAACCATATGACTTCCTAAACATCATATTTCATGCTTTCACCTTTCTTTGGTTTTCTTGTCAACATTCTCTCTCTTTAAAGCAAGTAAAATTATTAAATGATTAAGCAGTATTCATTGAATGTATGAAAAACCCAAGGCTATTAACTTTTGAATCACTCTGTTCCTCTTGATCAGAATCTGGAAATGTACAGAACAGGCTTAAGTTCAGTTGTAATCTACTATTGAAATATCAGTTGAAGACATTCCATGAAGAGGAGCAAAACTCTCCATTGATTCTTATTCACTGACTTAGAGTATGGTAGACACCAACAGGAATCATGCTGTACAAAGTGATGACAAATCCAAGTTCTCATCCAATGGTTATGAAGCTGCTGATGCAATGAAGATTTGTGAGGTTTAATGAGTGCGATTGAAAATGTTTATGACTCGCCTGCTACACCAAAAGGGCCTGCATTTCTAATCACACTCAAGATGCATAAGAGCAAATCCACCAATAATGAATGCAGCCTGCAGGGACACCTGTTTCTTCTCATTATCTTCTGGGACTGAACACTCTGAACTGAAGGATATTTCAAAGAGTAGCGAGAGGTCACACACTGTTCCAGTGCCACAGTAAAGAAGGCTGACAAAGCCTGAGAGTGAGAAAAAGTATGTAAATTTGTGTCTCGGCCGCAGCGGTAGATGCAAAAGTGATTGCAATGAGGAACGCAACTTTCCTTGATGTTCGTAAGACATCTTGGTAATAAAAATTCCAAGCTGATAGCTGAGGAAAGATGAATGTAATCGTGCCATCGATGAGCTTGGAACACAGTGAGTCTGCTGCGAGTTCCCTTTGATGGAGTGACTGGAATATTTCGTGAAGGGGTATTCTCGGAGGTTGCGGAATCTCGTCAGCGGGAAGGGAATGAGATGACCTCATCAAGACTCCTCGCTCACTCGTTCGGACCCGACGACTCTCGCTGTCGTGTTTTCGATGACGGATCGTACGTCTACAGGAGTTGCGCTAACTTTCTTGTCCATGCATCCTGGGGGTCCCAGGACGCACAGACAGGAAGCCTAAGACTGCGGGATTGAATATCATACTACTTGATTATGTTAAGTTGGCAAATAAACATGGATTGCTGGGCTTTTACTTTTGGGAAACCCTTCAATCCCTCGTGCTTCACTTGGAAAGTAACCCCCTTAATTATCAGAGGACCTTTCCATATCAGACCGAAGGGTCCTGGAGACTCCTACGACAAGAAACCTAGCGCAACCCCTGGTTTATATAGGTTTCATGCATGTACAGCATATAGAACGTCATGGTTATACTAGTATTTTGCATCGAGTCCGACTCTTTTTAATTTTTATTTTTATTTACTTAAATCTTACGCCCATGCGAAAAAAAGTATGCTCAGACTCCGAGTGAAAAAAACTTGCAAGTCTAAGAACTTTGATGCACGTCCAAGGCTGCGACGCTGAGCATAGGCTCAATAGAATTGGGAGAGGAGACGCTTGGACTCCAGGCTTGCTTGAAGTTAGAAAGCCTGTTATTGAAGTTCATCATTCTTCGTTGGCGTTATGAGTACTGCTACCATCTTCAAGATGTTCCATGTTTACTTATCCGCGATTCTGAAGTGATCGGAGATTGTCTGCAGTTTTCGCGATCGTCCCATATCCTCTGTATCGCGAAAAATGGGCTTGCAGATCTTGTCAGACTACGATTTAGATTGAATCGATCTGATGAATCTGAATTTTCCCCTGTCCGTAAAAGACGGTGCCGAGCAGCTTCTTTCGTCGAAAGAAAGCTTCTGACCCGTCAATCAACCCGCTCTAATCCTACCTTCAAGTAGGGAAAGCCCTCGGGAAGGAGGAACATCAGTGGCTGCTGACCTTCCTGGGGCCTAACTCGAACACCATTTCCACTCCGCAGCTGTCCCCAGCCCAGCCCTCCCCTCTTTACCAGTCCGGAAGCCCGCAAACTCAATTTTTTCTAATGCGTGTGCAGGAACAGATGTAAAGCTCTGCCCACTTTTGTCCAATGATCTACTTGATAATTGCAGCAGACGCGTAACGGAAGTGCCACGTAACAGTTGTGCCAAAAAACACGTAGGCCCAAAGAGTTGTATGCGTACGAACAAATCTCATATCTATAACACGTAGCGTCAAAAACACGAGTTTCGAGGGTGCGTGATTTCGTGCTAGAGAGAGTTGACGCAATGTGACTTCGTGTATACGAGATTCGACTCATCGTGGCTTCATGGGATGATTTTTTCCGATGATACGAGATTCGTCGCCATTAGTTTCGATGCAACGTTGCTGCTGTCTTTAATTTAGCTTGATGCCTAGAAAATCCATTTTCGACAGTACGTGTTTCGATGCTACGCATTTTCGACGGTACACTTATTCGACCTCAAGTGATGGGGCTTTTCGATCGTAAGTAGCTTCGACCAGTGGCGTAGCGAGGGGGGGAGCTGGGGGGGGATTCAGTCCCCCAAGTTTGGTTCAAGCCCCCCCAACTCTGGTCGAAATGCGTCCGCCCCAACCTGACAAGGCGAAGTTAGCCCCCCCCCAATGTTCCGCTTAGCCCCCAATTAGCCCCCCCCCCCCAACTTTCCGCTTAGCCCCCCATTGACTAAAACCTGGCTACGCCACTGGCTTCGACTATACGAGACCCAACGCCACGCAGCACTCCCGGCCCGAAAACTGGCGCTCCGTTTGGCTAAAAACACGGAGTACCAAATCTCGTAGCGCCAAATTTGATCTGAAGCCGGACATCACGTGGCAGCAAAAT